GCCCTCGGGGAGGCGCAATTATTGATTAGTCCTTTGGTGGAGCAACTGCCGCACCCGGTGCCTGTCCTAGCGGCTGTCTCTCCCCTCCATCTGTCCTTCTCAAGTGGCCCTGAAGAAGTCTGGGTCAGGCTGCCAGCCTGCCATTTTCCCAGAGGTTGCTGGATCCACTGAGATTGTCTAATGTCCATTGGATAGTGATGACCCTCCTGGAAAAGTTGTTCATCTAGAGCCGCCATCATTACCTTCTTCCACAGAGAGGGTCCACAGGCTTCCTCGGGGATAATGTCATCATGCCCGTCAAATTATAACAATCCTTTATTACAAATGCCTGCCGTGCAGCTAAGCCTGCAATGCAGGTATTAGTTCCATCTTATTGCAAGTTCATAAATGAGGTCCACTGCGATCATGATTGCTACAATTACTATCAACCATGTTTGTATTTCTATTGGTAATGTGAATAACAAAAGTCTACAGTAATAGGAAGAACAGACCTCCCTTACTTACCATGAATTCAGTGAAGGCTTTTCTCCTATACATATCTTTGTTACACATTACAAACCTAAAACATAAACATAGAATGCAGGATTACAAGACCTAGCACCTAGCAATTGTGAGAAAATATTCTTATACCCTTTTACTTCCCTAGTGAAGGGGTATTCAGTTAACCTGGATTTCAGATTCCTCTTCGCAGCCTAGAATTCACTCTAAGGAAATAGCAAACGCACCCATTCTGCAGGTAGCACCACCACCTTCTTGGTCTCAGGGATCAAGAGCAAAAGGAACAAGAGCAGCTGGCCTTAGAAACATCTGGATGCTTGTCGGGCTAGGAATGTGGCATCTTCTTCCATAGAAGACTAACAAAGATTACAGATATCCAAATAGAAGCAAGGTGGTCTTTGAAGGACCACTGTAGTTCTACTAAACTGAAAAGCTGGCATATTGATTGGACAGTTAGTAGCTGCCAGTGCAACCACATGACTGCTGGTTCCCCATGGATGTTGGTTCAGGGATTAAGTGATTACCAAGCAGGTGTGGTCATGGAACTGGAAAAAGGTGTTAGGAAATAAAGAATATAGAACAGAACCTTTAGAATAAATACAGACCCATGTATTTAAAAATGCGTTAAAATGTGCCAGTCTTGGATAGGATAGTCCTTGAAATGAAAGTAAAAATTGCTACTGACTCAGGCTCTGTTAGTTAGTAGCAATTCTTTTTAAAATTACCATTATCATAACTTGTATCATCCCCAGCATTTTCCCAAGAAGGCTGTCCACTCCTTGTATAGTGTTCCAGCATGTGAGAGGGAGAATAGAGAGGACACTGGAGTCTATAACAGGAGGAGAACCCTGTGACTTCTATGGAATTGGAGCTGTTAATAACAGGGCTAGTACTATATCTG